AGAAAGAAAGAAAGAAAGAAAGAAAGAAAGAAAGAAAGAAAGAAAGAAAGAAAGAAAGAAGGTAGGTAAGGTGGAGAGGTGTGTGGGTCTCAACCTTAAACTACCAGTGGTGCAGGCTGGATCCTCCCTGTGGCTGGCTGTGCTCCCAACCACTGAAAGCTCTCACCGTGTGCCCACCCTCAGTCTTATGCACAGAGCTGAAGTGGGGTCTTCTGCCACTCCTCCACCAGATCTTGTCTTCTCTTGGGCTCCTCCAAGAGATCAGGAATTGTCTAGAAAGCCACATCATGTAAGTATTCAGCACCCAGGCACCGAGGAAGGAAAAAGCATCATCTCAGCGCACAGTGACCTGGTTGATACGGATGGAACCTCTGGGCAGCTTCCTCATTGGCTCACCACTCCCCTCATTCCCTTGCCTGATCCTTCAATGGCTTGTCCACTTACTCAAAACTAATCATTTGCCCAGTGTTTGCAACTGAGGGGATAAGAAGTGGACAACAGCCCCTTCCAGAGACCACATCCTCAGAGATGTCATCCAGGGCTGCATCAGTCTCTTCAGGGAGAGGCTGGGTTATAGGAACACAAGAACAGCGAAGGTTCTTATAATTGAGGACAGGATTGGAAGGCTCCAATTGTTGTGCTAACTAGGATGCAATCTGGATCTTGACATATGTTTTGAAAAAACCTGAAGCAGAGAAAAGAATTAGAAATGCCTCCTGGGCTAGAAAAGAAGTCTGTGCTGGAGAAGGAAACTTTTGGAGCCCAGAGAACAAGATACGGAGAGAGGAGTGATGACAGCCAGGCTAGGAAGATCAAATGGTTAGGCAAGCACCTAAGTCATAAGGCAGGGCCTGACCCACTCCTGCCCTACTTCACACTACACAACCCCCTCCCACCCACCATCATAAGCCAGGGTAAGGCCTGGACCACATGACATCCTGGCTTCTGCCTGCTGCGAATGCTCATTGTTTACTCTGTTGGTCTAGGCCAAAGGGTGCAACCTGGGTGTGGTCAGTTCAGGCACACAGACAGCTGTATATCATTTTTCCACCACTTCTGTCACTTTAAAGAGACAACTCCAAGACCAGGAAGCAACCTAGGACTAGATATGAGCTCGGGTAGCCTTCTGTTTTGACCCAAAAAATGTCCAAGTGTCTGAACTCCCGAAGGCCAGCTTGTATGTATGTCACCTTACCTAGGGCCCAATAAGGAGGCCAATGTGGCAACTGCTCAAGGACTGACATGATGGCCCAGGAAAACAACCAGGTCCAAAGATCTCTCCCCTCCTTAGACCTGCAGTCTGCTTGGTGCTTTCAGTTCTCCCACTGGTTCATGGCCTGCTGGTAACTGGCATTGTGCTCTAGCTTTACATATAATTTACTCTTTATTTTTCTTATTGTCTTTAGACCTAAGTCTTATACTCAGTTCTGAGGGAAAAGTTCAAACCTTCACATGAGAACCCTCAGAAAGTCTTTGGGACTACCACTTCAGGAGACAAAGTCACACCTCTTACCACTGGCTGGGCCAGGCAGTCATTTGGCCAGTGACTCTGAGCCTGAAACTAAGATCATGAATAGACATGGGCTTCAAAAACAAGCAAACAAAAACAGCTGGGCCTGATATGGAAGAACCTGGGGTTTTCCTGAGAACCTGTTCACAACCCCTTCCCTATTCCCAAGTCTCTCCTGGAAGTGCAAAGAAAGGAAAAATGGACCATATTGGCTTAGGTCAACTGTGCTTCTGTTACGGCATGGGCCCATAAAGGCCTAGGCTGTACCCACTCCCACACTACCTCTACTTGCTTCTAGCTTTCTCTCTTGAACTTCAAGCTCTGCCCAGGTGTCCTCTGGCCACCTCATACTTGGTGCTTCACACTTGCCTCACTGCTCCTGTCCTTGCTCCTCCTTTGATGAGCTCTTGGCCAAGGTGACCCAGCATCCTTCTGAGTTACCACACCAGAAGAGTGTCTCTGCTGGCTTCCTTCTCTGTTTTTGATCCCAGAAGATCCTAGACTAATTCCACTCTCTTCCATTGTTTCCTCCATTCCTGGCCACGAAGGCTCAGGCCTCACCCATTAGCACCTGCTTTCCAACAGCTTCCTCAAGGTCTCACTGTCTGCAGCCTCCTCCTAATACATTGTCCACATGGGTAATCTAGAGCAACAGTTCCACAGTTCCTATCTCCCCATGCCCTGCTTCCTTCAGGAAATCACCTGTGCCTGCCCCTACTCACCTGAGGATCATCAGGGCTAGGTGGGGGCAGAGGAAGCAGCACAAATGAGCCATCCTAGACTGTGGACCACCCTGGTCCAGGGACCTATCATCTTGGTCTAGCCTGTCCCAAATGAGAGGTACCCAATCAACTGAAAAAAATGAAAGATCAGCCATGAAGACCCTAGAAAGCTGTTCTCTGTCCCAGCATCCTCAATCTCCTCGATTAGAAGTGAGACAAAACCTCTCCAGCCCTGCCCAGCTCCCAGGAGCCCCTTACTATCAAAGAACGCACGCTGAGCGCTGGCCACCCTGACTGTGCTAACCGCTTTGTCAACATAAAGGCAATTAACTATGTCTTATAAGTCGACATCATTAGTAGTGTCCTCACATAGAGATCCTACTATATATAGACATGATAGCCATCTTGATCATAATTTCCATTTTCCCCACCAGTTGGCCATGTCATACATCTGAAGCCTACAAGATGCCCAGTCATTACAATAGTTGACGCTGAAGATACACGACTGTAATCCCAGCACTCAGAAAGTGGAGGATTGAAGTTCAAGACCTTTCGGCTATGTATCAGGTACCAAACCAGCCTAAGAAACTTAACCCTGTCTCAAAAGAAAAACTCAGCCAAGAGTATTATGTGCCCAGCTTGTTAATTGACAGTGGCCATGAGGAAAGGCCAGTTAGCTATTCTGGTTAACTGTGGCTACCTTCATCCAGCTTAATCAAAAACATCTACCTGCTGCCTTGGGTGCCAGGATCCTCCTATTTTGCTGCCTCCAAAACCACCCTTTTTTCTGTAAGTTCCCAGTAAGTTACACTTTGCACAGTATCGAATCCATGCCACAGTACCTTCTGCTTTCCCAGATTTTCCCTCTACAACCCATTTTACAGATTTGGTTCCACAGTAGATTGAAAGCCATTTGTGTGTGTCTGTGAGAAAAACATGCTTCTCTGTGGACTCAGACCACCTAGAATGACCTTACTCCTGTTCTCAAAGATGGCTGTGGTGACCCTCAGCCCTCCAAGAGTCTTCCTGATTGCTGCTGCTTCAGAGCCCCCCTCTAAAGAGACCTCACTCCTGCACCAGTCATGAGCACCTCAGCAAAGGCACCTGAATATGCAGTGCTGTCCTCCACTTATACCCAGTCTGTCATTGGGCCATCCCAGATGTCTGTCACAGTGTGGAGTCTATAGGAAGCAAGGGATCCCTGGAGTGGGTGCCTCAGTGTCCCACACTTAGGCCCAGGCCTTCCGTCTTACCTCTTCTTGGTGGGGGTGAGATCTGCTGGCCTCTTCTCTGTCAGCACAACAGGGTTCCCGCAGGGTGCAGTGGCTCTTCTGCCCATGAGGGGTACCATCTCCTTGGAATGGGCGTTCATTGCTGGAACCCAGGGCATAGGCTGGGGTTGAGGGAGCAGGAGGTAACTGCTGGCGGCTTCAGGCTCCCATGAAAGCTCTCCAGCCCCTGCTCACACCTCTCCAGCAGGGAGCTCGCTCCCTGCCTCCCCAGGCTGTTCCCTGCTTCTGAAGCAACAGGAGAGCCCAGCACAGAACCCAGGGAAGGACCGCCCTGCTGCCTAGCTCCCACCAGCGTCTCCAGCCCCATCCCTTTTCTAGATCGACTTCTGAGACTTAACTTTGCTCTCTCAATGTCTCCCCTAAGACTCAGTATTCAGATCTATTTGTCAAGGTCACAGAACCTTTGACCTTAACAGAACGTCAATGTCACCTTTTCTCTAGATGCTGCTCTGAATAACCCAGCTGGGGGCTTTGAATTCCTCAGTACCTGCAGGTCATCCCTGCAACTCACTCCCTTCCTGTACAAGCTAAACACAGCCAGACCCTGACTGGGCCCCTGTCAGTCCTCTTGCTAGAAGAAGCAGAGTCCCTTCCATACCTAGAATATAGGTGGCCAACCCTTCAGTCCAAACAAGCTTTACTAATGCTCAATATGGGCTGAGTTGGAAAAGGGTACTCATATACCTTCCAAAGACACTAGGGAATGGATCTCAGTGCGAGGCTTAAAGACTGAGGTGCAGCAGCCATGCCATCTGGGCTCAGGGCACAGCCCACCCTGAGGGTCCAAGAGCATGTGGTTCTGGATGAGGTCATGGGGATCCCTGGCAAAGAAGGTCTTGGCAGCAGGCTGAGCCATACTGTGAATTTCTCGGACATAGCTTGGAGATCGATGCCAGGGAAGCAGGGAGTAGAGGAAGGTTCCAAGTGATATAGGCAAAGAGCCTGAAGGAGAACAGGTCACAGGGTATGGGAGAGCCCAGTGACCCAGGGGTCAGGAGGAAGCTGTCAATGCAGAGCATGGGGAGGGGGAAGAGGCTGCTAGCCACTCAGGATAGGATAGGCATGGAAATGTAGTATGAACAAGAATTTAGGGGAACAACCTCAATTTAAGCCACCTCAGGTAACTTAGGTATTGAAGTGCCTTCTAACCCCTGCCTAATCCATCATAGCCAGAGTCAGATGGGCTCTGCCCAAGGCAATCAGTCCACACATGGGGCTAACAAGGCTTTGCTTAGCCAGGAACAAAAATTGACAGCAGTGTGCCTCACCCTCCCTCATCCCCTGGTTCTCCTCCTGAGAAATAGCTGAATGGTCCCCAATAAGCCTGTACTCCTCACACCAATTGTTCTATCCTTCTTGTTCTAGGCCCATGAGTGTAGGCTATTCTGTTCAGTTGGGGCAAGTGGGGGTCAGAGTAATCTGGACTTGGGCTCCAGCAGCTATAATTAGCTCCTGAGTCACCTTATAAGCCTTGCATCCTCACCTGCTGGACTCTCTCCCTGCCCTGGGATCCAGCTCCCTCACCCAGGAAGTACCATGTCATACCTGCCAGGGCCCACACATGCTGATTGAAATGGCCTGTTCCAGGGACATAGACCCAGCAGGAGCCACAGGGAGACCTCCATAGTTACTACCTCAGTATCTATGAGTGTGTGGGTGCTGTCCTTCTTCAGTGCTGGGATAGTTCACCCCATGTTGAACACCCATCACACTCCTGCCATTGAGATTCACATCCCTAAGCTAGCTGAGGGAGCCACAAACTCCAGAGTTTCTCTATTCCTGGGATTCACAAACATCAGGGGAAAGTTTCTATGCCTGTCAGAGTATGAATTATCTCCTCTGCCTGTTGCCAAAAGATACCTTGGCTTTTTTCCCCATATTAGAACCCCGTCTTTCCCCCACACCTTCCTGGGGCCCATGGTCAAAGGGAAGACGTGGCCCCGAAGATCCCAGACCCATGCTCTACTCTTTCTGAGGGGCATTAGCTTTCCTAGGTGACAAGGACTTACCTGGCAGGTTCCAGATGGTGGTGGCAGCCCTTGCTTTGAGATCACCGCATGTCTGGGGCCCAAAACCCACCGTCAGGAAGGTGGCTGAGGTGGCAAGAGGCTCTCATCCTAGACACAGAGATAGCTGACAGCTGGAATGAAGCATCAGAGGCAAAACTGGCTGGGCCACCTGCCCTCGGCGCCAGGTAGGCCACACCCACCACCCACGTGCCCCGCGTGAGTCACCCCCACACCCACAGATCAGCCTCACCCCATAGGAGGAAAGGCAGGAAAAGCACTTGCTGTGGCACAAAGCTGTAGGTCTGGTCCCAACCCTTCCCTCTTATATTTGATCCTCAGAGGCCTCCGTTTCCTCACTTGCCCATTACAGAAAATTTGCTGCTCAAGGATGTTGTGCAGAGGCAAAGATGATAGCGGTAAAGAGGCTTCATACCTGGTCAAAGACCACAGCCAAAGGCTCTCCTGGTGGACCCTAGGGTGACCGGCGCTAAGACTTTACATCTATCTTTCAAAAATAGTTCCTGGGATCAAATCCCTCAGAGACAGAGGAAGTCCAACGTTTCCCAACAGCGATTATGCATCATGGACCTTCATGAGCAACAACCTCACCACTTCCTGCCTGTATGATTTTGGGCAGGTCATTTCTCCCCAGCCTAGGTTTCCTCAGCTGTGGATGATACATAACCCACCTAGGAAGGTAGAGCAGGTGGAAAGGGCTAGGGAAAGGCCTAGGACGCAGAAAGAATTCATAATTGTGACAGCAGTTAGTGTCATTGTCACAAGGATTTGTTCTCACAGCAATTGTCTGTGTCACTGTTTTCTAAAGCCAGAGCACTACAGGAAAACTCTGTGCCCTCTCTACTTGCCCAAATGGCTTCTGGGAAAGGGGTGGAGCAGAGCTTGACTCAGGAACCTCCTTCCACAAGGAAGATGTGTAGGCAAGACATGACAAGGTTAGAATGGAAGTCCCAGCTCTGTGGCAGTGCAATACAGCAGGGGCTTTCCCGACTGTTCCCAGGAGGCAAGATCCTGATTCCTGACCACTACAACCTGCCAGGCCTGGGGAGGTGGAATGAGGCAGGGTCAGCTTCTAGGTCATGAGAGAGGGCAGAGGACAGGCTTCAGGTGTGACGGCAACAGGGTGCCGCTCCTTCAGCTTAACCCGGGGAAGCCTGTAGTTAGTGCTCCTGATTTCCCATCCCTGTGCCAGAACACCAACATCAAAGCCCTCCCTTCCTCACCTGCCCAGGCCTGACTCAGCCTTGGCTGTCTTTGCTCTGGTGTCTCAGAATCCTGGCCAAGGGGCTGTTCCCAGCTTTGTGTTGAAACTTTCCTTGCTTTCACACTTAGCAAGCAGCTGGAGACTAACTTAAAAGGTCATTTATCTCTCATCCAAAGGATGCTCCGGAACAAGGAGTTAGGGGAAGCCCCTCTGCTCTAAGGACACGACCTCATTGGAACCCAGTGTAGTGCTGAGGGCTGGCCCACATTCAATGCCATTGGCCCAGCTGTTGCGAGACCCCTACACAGGAGGGCCCAGCAAGATCCTGGTGAAGAATTCAGAGAGTGTTCTCCCTATTCTCCAGAAACTTACAAGACTGGCTCCAGCAGGGATGATCCCGTCACGGCTGACAAGGGCCAGCTGAAGCGAAAGGGAGCCATCTAATGGGGAAGTGGGATGGGTTCAAATCAGAGGAGCATTTGGACTGGAATTGAAAGGAAGTTTCAGCAGCACAGTACCAGACACCTGAGAGCCTGGCCTGTTTCATGTGTGGTGACGTGCCCACGGTAATCTGTGAACTCAGCAAAGTGAGCAGACATGAGATGAGACGCAGTCCACTGAGCGACCCCAGGCTGCTGGTCAATCCTGAACCCTTGGTCACCAGAGTTGAGTTGGCACCTGGCCAGAAGCGACACTGTCACCGCCGTATCTGGCAGGGAACCCCGCCAGGCTGAAGCAGTGGTGCACACTAAAGGCAGTGCGTCTGGCTGCCTGCACGGTAGGAAGCTCGCCTTTGTGCGGCTTCTATCTGGTATCTGGCATCCACACAGCACAGCTGCGTCTCTGCGTCTCCTTCTACCTCATTCTCCAGCCCGTGCCAACCCAGCAGTGGTTGCCTGGTCCTGTCTGCCATGTGGATGACCGGTAGGGCTTCTTCAACTGTCCCCCGCCAAGCGGTTCCCAGTTCCTGCAGCAGCCATGAGCTGTGCCATGCTCAGTTTTCTTCAGCAACCTGAACTCTCCTTCCATGATGGAAAGAGCATACAACCCCAGGAAGAAGCCTTTCAGATGTGGTATGTGTGAGCAGAAGAGGAGCCAGGGGCAGATCCTGGAGTGGGATGGAGGCAGGGAAAGAGAAAAGGAAGACTCTGGTTATTGCTGTCCTGGCCTGCCTTCCAGAGGCCTGAACAGCAGGCAACCTCTAGGTGTCTGCCAAGATGCCCAAGTGTGCCTCATCCTGCTAGCTGACATCAGAGCAGAAGGCCTAGTCAGCAAAAGCTATCCTCTGCCTGATGCCCAAAACCCACCAAGAGCTCACAGGAGGCCATGAGCAAACCCACCCAACTCTCTGCACCTTCTAAGACCCACGGACACCAGTCCAGGTGACCAACCCATGGATTCCATCTCTCCAGAGAGGACAAATAGGAGTCCATGGGGAGGGGTCCAGTGAAGAGGAGCAGATTCTGGGACACATCCAAGAAAACACCCTACTTTCTGCTGTGGGGCTGGAGCAGAGAATGAGGCAGAATTCCCTCTCCCAGCTCAGGCCTAAACAAAGGTCAGGATAGGTTCCTTCCTCATCAGGACCAAGAGCTAAGAAGCTGCCTCATTAGGGATGCTGTGTGTGCTGCGGCATAATGGCAAGGGCAGGGGAGGCTGTCGGGGTAGGGGCTAGAGAATTCAATTTGTGAGAAAGCTGAACTTCTGCTCAATTTTCCTGCGAACCTAAAACTTCTCCAAAAGTATTTTATTAATTTAAGGGTAGGCTATATAGCACAATTGTTCAGTGCTTTACTAAAATGTATGAGACCCTAGGTTCAATCCTCAGGATCAGCAAGCAAACAGAAGGAAGGGAGGTATGAGGAGAGAAAGGAGAAAACTTAAAATCACTGAGCTGAAGTTGCCTCGGTAAACATAATACTCTATTTTTAAAAGCAAAGAAAGGTGAGGACATGACATTAAAAAAAAAAAAAAAAGGTTCACACAAAAGTTTCACTTGTTTTACTTTCAGCATTCCATTTATTTCAAAATCTTATTACAGCCAAAACAGTGAAATTAACCACATATAATACACTATACACACAATACACACATTAAGTTATGGGGAATAAACTTTATTCTGATAGGTAGTACTAACAAAAATTAAAATTGCATACATTAGTAACATAACATCCTTAATTTAGTCTGACACATTTTCTTGCTTTCCTGTGTTCTGCTAAATTACCACACTAAACTGTTTTTAAACACTCAAATTTAATTAATGACTTTGCCTATATTCTGATTACAAAAATAAACTTCTCCAATATCTGGTCTATTTCATCATCAATGTCATCCAAATATGAATGACTAGCCCCTGATAAATGCATTTCATTTTCTTCATAATCTGAAAAAAAAAAGTGTTGTTTTGTTTTGTTTTCCTTTTGGTTAATTCTTGATATTCCTCTTGTTGCTCTGCAGCCACTGTACAGCCCTGGACTGTCCTATCTCCAAGGCCCCAGAGCAAGACCCCTCTGGCTCCAGGGGAAGAGGGCTCCTGGACAAACAAAGCCCCAAAGAGTTCCACCGAGTTCTCAGAATAAAATCTCACAGCAGAACCCAGAGCCAGCAGTGGCTAGGCCCCAAATGATTGTGGCTCCTGTGCCTAATGTCTAAGCTGTCTGCGGATAACTCTATATCAGCCATCGAGTCTTTCCTGTGACTACACAGAATCCCACAGGAATGCTTACGAGGAGTAGCCCATGCAGCAGTATATGTCGGGGCTTTCTGAATCGTCTGAAACTGCCTGGGAGATTTGAAGCAGAGACTGAATGTCTTGCAGAAACCCTGACTGTGCCGATTTCAACAGGAGATGCCTTGCTGCTGTGGCAGCTCACCTTTAATCCCAGTGCTCTGAAGATGCAGCACTGAGCAAGCTGGCATCGTGGCAAACTGCTTTGGCCAAGACTAGGCTGGATTCTGAGGCCTTGCCTCAATGAATACGATGGAGAGCAACCTAGGAAGATTACCAATATCAACCTCAGATCTACACACACACACACACACACACACACACACACACACACACACACATGCATGCACTCCACACACAGAAACAAATGAAAGAGAAATCTGTAATTATTAAACAATCACACTATGTTTCCTGAGCCAAGCTACAGGTAAAGCAAGAAGCCCAGGGCCCACAGCAGGTAGCAAGAGGCCAGCCCAGCTCCCTTCAGACAGGAACAGCCTGCATGCCCCGGGCCTCAGCAGTAAAGATGGGTTTGAAGTCAGGCTGCCTGGGGTCAAACCCAGGTCATGGTCTGCCGCCTGTGTAACTTGCTGTTGGAGCCTTGATTTTCTCATTTATGAAGCAGAGCTAATAAGAGCTTCCTCATGGGCTGTTAGGAAGCTTAAAGGATAGTGCACATCAAGCCTCTTCAAAAACACTCCCACCATCCTGGCAATCTATATTCTTCCTCCTCCCTCACCCGTGGGCACCTCGGGGAGCCAGCCTTGGGCTCCTCCACTGGGGCCTTCCGTGTGGGGTAGGCAGAATGCTGAAGAGCAGGAAGAGAGTGGGGTATGCCCAGTGGGCTCCAGAGTGTAAACGCTTGGCCTCCATCTCATGGCACTGTTTTAGGAGGCTGAAGATCCCTCGGTATATGGTATATGGAGCTTCTCCTGTCGAGGCAGAAACTCCCAGGCTATAACAACCAATCACTGACTGCTCAGAGTCTGACCCCAGCAAGCTGTCACACACACATGTAGAGAGCCTGACTCCTAGTGACTCGTGAGCCCTTCACTAAACAGTCACTCTCAAGAAAGACCGCTGAGCCTTCAAGATGGCTCAGCAGGTGAAGTCCCTTGCCTCCAAGTCTGAAGACCTGAATTTGATCCCTAGGACCCACAGGTAGAAGGAG